TTTCTTCGATTTTCTTAATTCCGAATGTATCAATGATGAATAAATACATCGCAACCAATGACGCTAAATTTTACGAACGAATTGATCTCCTGTCCGCTGAAGGGTGCATTAAATTGCGAGTGAAACGAATATGCGAAGCGCAGCCGCTTGCTGATCCGTGAAAAAGCAACCTTCGCCTAAATTATGCTGTCGTTATCTCGAAGAAATTTGCAAAATCGCATATCTAATCAATACAATCAATGGTTGATTTTGGAATTTTCTTATTTGAGAATCTAGTTTCCAAAGTTACCGAATCGACCTAAGATCTGTTTTCTGTGACTAGTGTATATTTTTGAAACTAGAATAAGATAGATTTGATATTTGTTGAAAGTGAGAAAGAGAGTGCTAGTCTAATGCAGGAACAAAAAACAGACCATTAGTGTTTGAAATTATTTAAAACTTGAAGGAGATCCAAACATTAAAAAGTTATGGCGGCAAAGTCTCTCAGGGGAGATTAACTATATATTATAAAGTGTTTTTCTCCCCCTCAGGCAATATCACGAGATGTACGAAAGGCTAATTGTGTGTCTCTTTAAATCTTCCCCTTCCCCCTCTTGTAATTGCTTCAATAAATATATCGGTCCTCGTGAATTTCGGAAGATTTCAGCCAAACGTCGCGAATTTTTATTTCATGTCTCTCTGGAATTCTGTTGGTGGAAATTTTACGCGAAAAACTTGAAAAAAAAGGCGCAGTCTCTAATTTAAGAGTTCCCTAATCTCTTCCGCAATTAAAGTGCTACGCCACGTTCGTGAGAAAATTACGCGTAAAAGAATTCTCGTTAGAGCTCGTTCTTTTTGCTATATACCTACCATCTCGTTATTCTCGGTTGGCGTTTCAGCGTCCACGCCTCTTTTTTAACCTCTTGCTCTATGACGGCTCTTAGAAAATTCAACAAAGGGCCTGGGTGCTTAGCGCTCGAGTGAAACGGGTCAAACGTCGCCATACAAGAGTGATGACGTACGAGATATAATCGTTTTAAAACCACTCGCGCGTTTTAATTGGCAGCGGTGCAAAGATCTTTCATACCCGCATACGTGATTGTCTTCTGTTGAAAAAAAACTCGATCATAAAATACAAATAAAATGCAAATTGCTCGTGGAAGAAGTGTCATTATTGCGCCATTAACACATCCAATTAACAGGGTGTTTCTTCGATTGTCTCGATTGCCACTTGCGAAAGTACTTGAGCTTTTTTTTGTAAGTTGTATCTCCTTACACACCTACACAGTTTACGTTAATATTATATTTTAAAAAAGTGTTATATACTTTAACAGTTATATATCAATATAACTGTTAAAGTATATAAATATCACAAGTAAGATTTCCTTTTAGGAGAAAGTAAACGCTACGCGTGTGCCGGCCGAAAAAGGGAGAAAAAAAGAACATTGAGTGACTAAAAAAATTAACAATTAAAAGTAAAAGAAAAAAATAAATTAGGATGACTAAGTATTTAAAGTAATTTTGTCCTACTTGGTTCACAAACTGTAAAGTATATTTCTTTGTGCTGTTAAATACAATTTCTAAAATTTGTAACTCTTATTAAATCAAATTCTCTGTTTCCTTTGTTTTTTTTTTAATACTTCGTCATCCGTGCAGGAGTACACTTCGATGAAGATAGTTTGATAAAAAAGCGGTTAAAAATTTTATTTGCTTATACTAAAAATGCGAAATAAGTGTGAAAAAGTAATCGAGAAAGGGAGAAATAAGAAATAAATGTAATCTACCAGTGAAAAATCGACCATGGCACGGTTCTCATGTATCGCGTGAGAGAGCGGGCAGTGCGAGTTGTATTTTTCATTATACACATATGAGTCCGGTCTTTGTTTTGCCGGTTAAACGATTCCCGCTGCGATGGTTTCCTTACCTTTTCGGACACTTCGCGAGGTTCTTTTTCAGTGGCCTCCTCAGTGTCCCACGATCAGCATTTGCCCGTTAATCTCTCTCGCTCTTTCTCCCGACCAATCGATCGATCTTATCGAATCGATCTCTCTTTCTTTTTATTTTTCTCTTTCGCTCGCTCTCTCAGATTTTTCAATCGACTATTCAGTACGAGTCTTTCGCTCGCTCTCTTTTCTACCTTTTTACTCGCTCTTTCTTTCGCGCAGAAGCTCTCTATAGAACAACAGGAGATCTGCGTGAGACACGATCGTATTTTGCAATTGTCTTTCTTTTGTTCAGCTTTTGTGCTTTTGGTTACTTTCTTTCCTATAGTAACCGAACCCAACACAACGGCCAGATCGTCCAATCAGCGGATTTTCCAGCTCCTTTGTATGCGGTTCGTTTACTCGTCGTCCGACGACTATCGCGTTGTTTCGAGCGCGTCCACCCCTTCAACTTCGCTCACTTTGCATTCGGATTCCCACCAACGTGGATCTTCCCTTTTCTTGTTTAACAAGACTGATTTTAGGGATGCCAGTACTAACAGCGCGGATTTGCAGCAAGCACTTAAAATACGACAGTTCAACATGACAGTTCTGAATCCACGTTGGCAAGCAATCCTGATGCGTCTCTCTTTTTATTCGCTTTGAGTATTACGAAGATCCCCGAGACGGAAAAATCGGCAACAATTTTGTCATCCGGTTTCTGAAATTCATGACATGTTAGATTTAAAGATTTGAGAAAAGTGTCTTTGAATTGCGAAATTCCTGCTTGAAAATTTACGTAATTTTATGAAACTCGCGAATAGAATTCCATTGGTGTAGTAAATCGACGAGTCGCAAAAAGGTCAGGCTTTCAAGCTTTAATTGAGCCATTAAAGTCGCAATAAGAAGGCCTGCTTGATCAAACGGACGCTATTATCGAACCGGAAAAAATCCGAAGGAGTAATCACTGGCCGTGATTCAAGAATATAATCCTATTACATCCGAAAAGCAATATAACGACGACAGAGACAGATGTGTTATCTTCTCAGAAGCGATTACTTTTGCGTCGTCCTTTTGACAGTAGCCTTAAAAACATAAAACAAAATTGCAAACGAAGTCTTCCCGTCAGCTATATCAAGTGTTGTAGAATGATTATCGATGCAGTGAAATAAATAGAAAATGAAATAAATTTTCTACTTTCGTAGAAAAGATTATCTCGATTTAATTTTGTTCTCGATTTTCATCGTAACATTTTATCCATTCGCGCGCATTGGCGCAACACTAAACGATGCATTTCGAAGACGCGGTTGCCAGCTAAATGAAGCTAAAACGATGGTTTACGCGACGCGTACGAGATTGGTGTAGCCTAACAAGCTGCTCCAGCTGCCATGAGAAGATAATTAATCGAGTTGTTCAATTAGGCTTGTTGTTTGATATCAGCATCGACATAGCAGATGACGCGGTTGTCACGTGGTCGATCGAGAGCTACAAAAATTGAGCGCGGTAATCAAAGCCGAGAGTTGGCTGTATTATAAATGAAAATGTTTGAAGATTCTAGTAAAAGCGAAATTATTTCACTGCATCTATATAGATATGCGTCTATATGGCCACTTTTAATCGTTAACTACATATATATTATTAGAATTCAGAATTCTGCATGATGTGTATATATAAAAAAAACCGAGATAAAAGAAACAAATAAATGCAATCATCAATTCGAATTAAGCTTGAATTACGTTAATTATTTAACCGATTTAAATTTGCAAAATTATTTATTAATTTATGAAATTGTTTACATTAAGATATACTTCTACTTATATGATAAAATTTAAAGTTACCATTTTGACAAAATCGTTGTCACATTTTATCGCCTCGTTTATCTTCGATCGATTCGACAGAGCTTATAAAATCAACTACTGTATATAATAATTGAACGTTAAAGCAAAGATAATTTCTGAGCTCGAGATAGAAGGTGCAGTTATGATTCCTCGCATGAGCGAACGCATTGAATGAATTAAGGTCATTTCGCGATAGAGAAATAACGAAAGAGGAAAGAAAAAGACGAATACATATATATAAAAGCAAAATCCGTCTCGCGAAAGGATCGTCGCGCATTGATCGCGACGAGGACTTTCTCCCGCGTACCGATTTTCACCGGCGAAGTGACCAGCCAATCGGGAACGAGAATTTGTGGATCACTCGAGACCCTCGAACAGAGATCAAGCCCCGCCAATCGGCGCGCCACTTATACGATCCACGAGTGGCTATCAGTCAGATTGATCCAGGCCACGAGAGAAATCTCTTTCTCTCGAATCCCTGCGACCCGAGATCGTTCTCCTTCCTCTCTCTCTACCTCTATCCGGTTTCTCTTCCTCTAGCCCGTGAAATTAACTCGCGTTTCATTAATTATATTGCGATATAAGTAAATATTTCTAGCTTTCTTTTTTCGAACAAAAGGCTCCGTCGAATCGCGATGTAGACTGTCGATAACTCGAATCGTAGCCGTTTCAAAACGGTCGTGTCTACGATGGCGTCGTCAGTCTGGCATCTCGTGCCTTCAATCGCATAGCGATTTATTCTAGTCTCTTAGATTAACGACCTTTGCGTCGCGGGTATCCATTTGACTTCTCTTCATCAACGCTATTATATATCAAAATGTAAATTCGCAATAAACAGAGATTTTTCATCGAGAAATTAACAATAAAGTTTCATTTCTTTTACGATCAGTTAATTCATCCGAGAATTAATTTATAAGCTCAGTGGACACTCGGGACTCAAAGTGCCGGACTTAAAATTATCAGGCGACCACTGTTACTCGACAAAATTTGAAAACGTACATTCAAAGACAGATTTATGAAGCCGTCATATAAGCAAATGAATCGAGCTTTAGATCGTGGTCGCCATTTCACATCGAAAGTGCGTGCATTCCATAGAGGAATGCACCCACTCGACTTTCCTGGAAAAAAAAAACAAA